GATGATCTTTTTTGTTTCTCTTACAAAAAAGTTAATTTATTGCAAAATTCGAAACAATACTTTCTATTGTTAATATTTTTAAAACTTCCACAGGAATTTTCTATATCGAAGCTAAGCTTTCACGAATTATCTCCATATCCAAATTCATTATTAAAATGCTAATGTTTTCATGAACATTACAAGTCACTTCATAAAGACGACAAGCAACCTAATATTGAGCTTTTTAATTTGTATTTATGTTTCAACAGTTTTTTATTTAAGAATATATATTGCATCCATTTTTATAAGTGTGTTAACAAATATTTATACTTTAATAAACTATATCTATATAAAAGTTATATTTATAATATTCTATTTTTATTGAACAACTCATTCTTATAGTTCATTTACTTTCTTTGTTATTATTTTATTATTACAATTATGAATTAAAATGTAAAAATAGTAACAAAAATTTCAATTTTTTTTGTATCATCCTTAAGTATCCAAAATAATTTATATAATGTTTCATTGCGATTTACAAATTAGTAGCGAAGATTTAGAACAAATAAATACTTTATTCGTTTACAAACAACTAATCTGTTTCGCGCGCAATGTAATTTCACATCAATTATCTTGAATACTTACAGTACTAATATTAAAAAATTTAATTTTTTTGTTATCATTTTATAATACATAAATTCCATAAATTTTTTATTACAGCATAGAGATAAAAAATACTATCTTTATTGGAATAATTTTCTTATCTAACTAATCACAGTTTCTAAATCGTAATATTATTCCTTAAGAAATAGAAAAGCGGTATGTATCAGTAATTTTTTTCTTATCGAAATATGAGTACCTTATCCCCAATCTCTCTGGATATTTCCAAATGCCTCTTGCAGCATATCATGGCTTCGTCAAACTTTCCAATAACTTTCAGGGTGTTTCCCAGATTCCCGCTAGATTTTGCTTCGCCCAGTTTGTCGCCCATATTTCTGGCGAGAGTCAAGTCTAACTTGTGATACTGCATTGCTTTGACATAGTCACCCAGGTAGAAGTACGCATTACCCAATTGGCTATAAATAGCACTTAGTATTCGCAGATCATCTGTACCAGCCTGGATTGCCGCCTGGAAGAACGCCACTCCGGATTTGCAATCGCCAGCTTTGCATAAGCGTTCGCCCTCCAGCGCTAATTCCAGACACATGTTCCATCTCTCGCTATTCTGCTAAACGTTACAAACATATAGAATTGTTAGTGAAATACGAGTAATTAGAGTTATAGAGTGATTTTGGAAAATTTACAAAATAATTGAATAAATATTCAATTTAACAGTTATTAATATAAGGTATACATCTTTTAGAATTATACAAATGTTGCAAATCATGCAAATGTTTACAATACATTAACTATACAATAAAATATGTTACGCAGAGAATATGTTACAAGGTGAAAAAAAATTTATTCTTTGATTCTACAAAGTAGATAAAAAAAAAGAAGCTAAAGCAAAACTTGATTGCGAAAAGTTGAAGATGAAAAAATGTTAAGCTTGATGCAGATTAATTATTGTATATAGAGTGTAATATGTATTTGTATAAAGACTCAGTAATATACGTTTTATTATGAAAATATGAAGATTTAAGAAAAAATTAATTCAAAAGCATTTATTTCACTTGAATGAATTAGACTAGTCTTAATAAAGATATAATAAAGCTTGCTCTGGAACATAAAAACTGAGATAAAATAAACTTTCTTGCGAGTCCACTCCGAAATATAACTTATACCATAGTAAAACGGAATAAATGACTGATCGACGAAACAAAATTGTATATAAAGAAACAGGTGTGGCAGCGATAAGCGTGAGTCACGCGTGGGAAGCTCAGCGTCATTAATTGGGCGTTGATTCACTCACTTGTCCCTCGGACGACAGATTCTCCGCACTGGCGCTTAGAGACATTCTATTCGTAACACCTTTTCTTCGACAGAATGAAATCCGACTCGTTCAAACGCTCTTAAAACAAAACGGCCGTACGTTGCTATCGGTTTGCGAAATAACTGTAATTGCTCCTCGTAGCATGATACTCGAGAACTCCGATCGTAGGAATCAGCTCATTGTTGCGCTATCCTCCAAGCATAGCCCTGGATCCTTTTACTCCGAAGCGAAGAGCTGCTCCGACGCGAAACGGTTCTGGAGCGCGTCCAAACAAATGGCGCCGTCGGTATAGGTGAACCCAGATGGGAACCTTTTGACGCATGCGTTACTATAGAAGGGGAATGTATGTCCCCATCATTTTTGTACGCATGCGTATTTTTATATAATAGGTATAAATACAGAGTGTTTTTGAAATAATGTTTTTGAAATAATTTAGTCGAGACGCACCAAGTTTTTTTGCATAAAATATTTTTTATTTCATGAAATTTGTTTTACTATTACATCCTTAATTCTTTGTGATAACCTTTGGGTTAAGTAAAATAATGCAATTTTGTGATATATTTTAAAGGAGGATTAAATAATTACTATCACACTTGGACTAGAATAGGAAGAGTTTTGAACAGCTACACATCTGAGTTCTATTCTTAAAAAATTATATTATTAAAAATATTATCAAATCTTTTAGGATTTATTTTTTAAAACTAGTTTTTTACAATTGTATATAATTTAAATGCTTCATATCATTTTTAGAAGTACATATTTCTTGAACTTAAATTTGGCGTCAGTTATTGATAACAAATTACATATCACACGGAAAATATTATTTTTATTATAACTTGGCATTAGTTTTTGTGGTATCAAACCTTTTATATAAATAATATACAAAATATTCGATCATTCGCAATCGGGACACAATACAAGATTAAATATATTATCTTGAATCTATTTAATAGTTATATTTTTCCATAAAAATTAATTGTTTTTGCGAGATAGCTATAAATAATACAAACATTCATTAAAAAATTTATAAAAATAATATTTATAAAAATAAATTATTATTTTCAGATTATTTATTAATGTGACTTGCTCAAAAATATTTTTATATAGTAAATGCAATGTAACTTCTGAATGGGAAAATAGTGATGGGAAATAATAGATAAGATATTTTGTCAAAAACGATATTTGCAAGAATAATATAACAGATATAAGTTTAACTGTGTTAACTTATTATTCATAATAAATATTTATTTTTTATAAGAATAACAATATATACAATATTATAAATATATAGGAATAGCGTTATTAATATTAAAGATATCTCTTAGTTTTTTCTAACTTTTATGCAAGAACTATACAGTTTTTAGAATAAAAATTCGATTTTTTATAAACAAAAGCATAACAAATTTTTTGATTCAAAATCAAACTCTTTCTTTTACATATCGTCATTTTCAAATTTTATGCAATTGATTTCGTTCTAGTTTCTGCCGTAGCAACATTCATGTAATTAATAAAAATCAAAAATTTTGATTTCAGATAATTTATAGAGGCTGAATTCAATGAAGGCGTGCTTTTTAGATGGCCTTTAATTTTCTTTCGGTTGAGTCATTATAATACATCTTTTTGTAAATAAAAAAGAAATTTTTTTGTGCTGCCTGTGATAATTTTAAGCAAAAACTTACATTAAAAAAAAAATCATGAAAGTAGAATTTTAGTTGACAAAAATAAAAGACTTCTTAAATATTAAAGCAGAAAGAAAGCTGTAAAGTTTTACTAAAAAAAGAAATAAAATAGCCAGGAAGTGTTGGAAAAAAATAAGAGAGAAAGAATGATAAGAGGGGAAAAGTGATCCATATAAGAAGAAGAAAAGTAGAAATTTTTTTAACTCCATCTCACATAACTTTACTCCTCTTTCTTTGAAAAATTCCTGCCTTTTCTTCTTCCATACGAATAACTTTTTTTCTTTTAACTCTTTCTCTTGTCTCCTTCCATCTAGCTATACCTTTGATCATCACTAACAAGGAAAACCTCTAAAGTACTCATCGAGTTTATCAATATCATAATTTTTTTGGTGATTCTTGAGGCTGAAAAAAATATACTTGTCACGGTTTTTATCTTGGCTTTGTTTTCGAATTATAACTTTTTGAAAATCCGAAAAATTTAAATCGCGCTTGTTCTTCAACAAAAACTTGACAAGGGAACATTTAGAAAACTTTTTCTTTTAAATAAATGGAGCATTTTAAAATATCGTTGTCTAAAACGCACATGCCGGTAATAGTTTTTATGTGCAAAACTAATTTTTTAACTATTTAGAAAGATTTGAATATTTTTTTGTAAGTAATATTATGATATCAATATACTAAAAAAGTAACAAATACAATATAACCATATTTAAAAAAATAAAAAATTAGCCGAATCTCGCGAATCCGATTTGCCAGAGCGATCATTCAATTTTTTTTTATATTTTCAAAAATTTATAATTCGAAAACAAAGCAAAGTTGATAAAAACCGTGGCACGTATATATTTTTTGATCTCAAGCATTATCAAAAAAATCGGTTTTGAAAAACTCAATAAACACTTCTAAGATAAATACTTTTATTTATTAAGACATGATCCGAATTCTATCGTCCACGTTCAGTTTTCTTATTTTTTCTCAAATCTCCTCTTCTCTCAATACATAATCCAAAATCATCTCTCTCTGTTTTTCTGCGATTGTCCATTCACCTTTCTCGTAGCTTTTAGCATATCTATTGAAAATGTACTATCTCACTAATTCCGGTCTATTTATTAAATGTCTATTCCAACCACTTAATTCCCTATAAAATCTCTATATTTTGTCTTAATAAAAAATTTGTACATTTCTTAGTTAATATTTCCAGACAAAGAAAACTTTTTTAGTAGCAGCGTTCCGATGATAAGCAGCAATACTTTTTTGTTATATTTGTTTAAAAAAAATCAAATTTGCAGCTTTTTTTTTATAGTAATGTAACATGAATTTTTTTAATAAATAATAAAGAGTGGATGTTTTTTTTATATAATACGAAAATAATCTTTTAACGAAGAAATATTAGACACAGATTAATTTATTATTTATGTCTTATTATCAAACTCCTGAAATAGTTCTATTATACGACTGTATACTAAAGTATTAACATTTATGGCTATTATAAAATCCAAATGAGTAAATGATTTTTGTTCCTCCAGTAGGACAACATTCGGCAAACGCTTATATAATTCGAAAATAGTCTAGAAATAAAAATATGGAAGACGATACAATTAGTAATAATAATTTGAGAAAATAATTAGTTTTTAGAGATTATTTATTTCATATATGTAAATACTATAAATTGAAGAAACAAAATTTTTACCATAAATACAATATGCATGTATAGTATACGTAATTTATAAAGTTTTCAGTCATATCTGGAATAAATTAATTTAATAAAAGAATATATAATGTATTATTTAAAACATGCAACTTTGACCGATTTTGGTTTTCTTTATTGTATTATAAAATTTTGTTTCTTTTTTCAATTTATATTTTTTAATCAAAAGATATTGTTATATAAAAGACAAAGTGATCTTACTGATTTTAAAGCAAGCAAATCATTACCGCCGTAAAATATAGCTACGGGCGCAGTAATTTTTTCAACATCATACGTTATGGGTGTAGCCTGTTTATAATGCTTATAATTGCCAATATATCCATAGTCGTAAGCTTGAAATTTTTCTGCAACAATAAGTATTAATTATCTACATAAATATAGAATTAAAAGATGATAAATCTTGAATTGATATTTTATGTTTATTTAAGTTTCACTTATAAAATAAAATATTACGTAATAGTGAACAATGTGCTTAAAAAAAAACTTACTATATTGGAATACCAATATATACTGAGAGAAAAATAAACTCAAATCAAGTAAATGTGATTTTCAAAAATTGTTTTTATTCTATTCAAGTAAATATTTAATAACATTCCTAATACATTACTTATTGTAAATAATATTTATTGAAGTATGAGAAATATTTTCTTAAAATTTTCCATTTTTAAGTATACAAGTTTTAATTTAAAAATATATTTTCCAAATTTACTGTTTTATTTTATCAATTTATAAAAATTCATTTTTTGGATTTAATATGTGGAGTATAAAAAAATATTTCATTAAAACAAAAATTTGAATTTCTTATTAAAAGAAAGAAAATTTTCTAGATTAAGAAATCATCAATTTTATTAGAATTAGTAAACCATTTATTCATAAAAAACAATTATTTGTCTCAAAAATATTTCTGATTTATAAATAATAATGACTTCATTAAAAAAAAATATTTTTACTCATATTTTTTAAAGATTAGTCAATATTTTCTTGTCATAAAGAAATGCAACATTTTATAATAAAAAAAAATTTCTTCGGAAATATACAAAACAACCATTTACTTGAATCAAATAATATTTCCTTGAATATACAAAATTTTTTTTCAGTGTATATTTAATAAAGACAAAATAGTAAAAATATAACTGATAATATTAAAAAACATTTTAGATATGATTAACGCACTTTTTTTTAATAATTGACATAATAGTTTATATTGTTATATGTTTAAAAGAAAAAAGAACACTCACTTGTAATAATATTTTGGTTATAATGAAATAATGTTTGCACGGAACTGCCAGCCGGATAATTCGATAATATTTCCGGAAATGCTGTCTGCAATAAATGGTTTTATTAGAAACGATTTTGATTTGTTGTATATATAAAAATTGTTGTATATTAAAATTTAGAAACTTTATATGATTTTTAATAATTTTCTAATTTTAGTCTTTAAAAAAATATACAAACAGCATTATAACTAGCAAAATTGTACTAAATTATACATGTATAATGTACAATATTTAATTGCGATGGATTAGCTCCAGACAACAGAAACACTGATGCAACGCAAACAGCCTGAGTAATTGTGTTATCTGCACACAGTGTTCTTCCCATCATAATGGTCGTTGATGTTAAGGCAAATACTTCATATATTTCATTGAAATCTAAAATTTCCTAATAAACAAATATAAAGAAAATATAAAGAATGTAATAAAGAATAGTCTTTACAATAGAATTAATTACAAGAATAATAAAGACTATACCAGATATCATGCATATATATAATACAAAGAAAAAAATATTAAAATAATTATGCATCAAAAAGAAACTGTATTAGATCTATAAAAATTTGAATATTTACTTAATTTAAATACATATATAATCATTATTCTCTACAAAGTGGTTTTCTTCTACATTTATACAGCAATTTCATCGTCTCCGCAAAAATTCTTAAAATAATAAAATATTGTAACAGAAATAAAGATTTATTTTATATATGTATATATATATGTATATATATATATAAAATAAATCTTTATTTCTGTTAAAATATTTTATTATCTTACCTGTAAATTTCTAATATTGTGTATCGTATCAGCAATATACTGTACTATAGGAGATGCTTCATTCCAAAAGGCGATCGGAGCAAGGCAGACTGCCAACTTTATTTTTGCATTGTATTCGGGTTTCAAAGACAAAAGAATGAATAAAATAGTACTTCCCATCGAAATATTGACGAAATACAGACTTTTTTGTTTTGTATGATCAAGTGTATAATCGATCATAGCCGGTAGATCTCTCATTGCTATCTCGTGAAAGCTAGACAATAAAAATAAATTCTATTTTCTCTTCTATTACCTTTGTTATGCTGCAAAATTATCGAATATTTATTACAAATTTTTTTACTCAATTATGATTAATTTTTTTAAATAAAAATATCGAACCGCAAGCATGCACGCACGCATACAATGCATCTACACAATATTTCAAATTTTTATATTTTTTATTAAGAAAAAATTAATTTTAACTAGAAATCATAGGAGAAGCCAAGCAAAGGATAACTCCGGTATATACGCAACTACTGTTACATGCCTTTATGTTGTTTAGTGTTATGATTTCAGTTTTTTTACTGTTAATATTGAAATTATTGTGAATTAAATTGATTTGTCACGGTAATAGATAGTGTCATAAATTATAATCTACACAAAATGATCTGCAGAGTGCATAAAAGAATGTTGATTATACGATAAGCGTAGAAGAATAAAGCATGTTGCATAACAAAATACAAGTGCTTTGCTTTTGAATTCTATGTTTAATTTATTCTCTTATATATCCCTATGTATTTGGGATATACGGAATTTTTAACGGAATTTATGCCCAAAGCATACAAAATACGCAGATTGGATTTAGTGAAATAAATTAAATACAATAAACACATTACATGAAATGTGTATGTACCTCATATTATAACATTTGTAATATATGTAGGAAGAGTGTTATAATTATTATATCTATTACTTCATATACATATTTATTATTCTTATTCCTTAATAAAACTTTATAAACACATTTTATAAGTTATTGTGTATTGTTAATAAGCATTATTTGTAAATTTTTTATGAGCCGTACAAGTAAAGATTCAGTACCAATTTCATGACGCGAAAGGTCATGAAGAGGTGAGTATTCATAGTCGATTCTTACATTTAAGACTGTCTTAAGTCAATCTTAAGATATCTTAAGTAAGTAAATTCGTGGACTGTATCAACATCTTAAGACATTATATTTAAGATAGTTTTAAAATAAAAACGGACTATGAATATCGCTCCATGTTTCGCGTTTCACAGTTGTAGGCCTTGCAGAAACGAGAAGTAGAGAAACGACAAAGAGCGCTAATTTTAGAGAGAGACGTTTGCAAACTGAGCAGTCTGAGAACACCATGTATTCCTTTCATCTGCTCCAACATTTGTGCTATGGCAATCTGAGGTAACGGATGTGTAAAAGGACACAGGACGACATTTTGATGAGGCCCATTAACAAGAGCTCGATTAGGAGGAGCTCATCCATGAGATGAGCGTAATGTATTGTAAAGCCGTCGATTTTTAGATCGGAGGGATCGCACGTATCCGCGATAATAGTGTTGAGTTTCGTTTCAAAAATACAACACTGATAATTGGGCGCCAGGCACGAGAGAGTTGAGATTGAGAGCGTAATTGGTGAGATCAGTTGATGCGTTGTCTAGTTTGAGTATCAAATTGTTATTATTTGCGAAAACTGTAGAATATTAATCGCGAACGCAACTACGCGACGAATTTGTACTACATTCGTGAGTGTGATTGCCGCATTATAATAATTAAAATAACGAGAAGTCGAAATTAATAAAAAAAATTCTTTATAACAATAAGTATAGTATTTATAAAATAATTTTACCTAAATTGCCAAAACTCTTTATTTCGTGGAGATAATTTTACATGTGATCTGCAATAAGAAGTTCCTCTGACATTTCCAAGCCATACATCATATCCTTTATCAGCTAATAAAAATGCTGTAACATAAGATAGTTAATGATATATAATTAATTCCATTATATTATTGAATTAATTATTAATAGTAATAATTTCTGATAAAGATGTTTTCCTTTTTATCAGTATATTTATCTTGATAATGTCCTATTAAATGTTTTTTATTTATTATAATGAGTATATTATTTATTTTCTTAGAATGTAAGACATTTTGTTAACGTTTTTTTAACTAAAGCTTCTTTAACATATTTCAAATATATGATCATACGTGATCATGTGTTACTATACTTTCCCAGGCTTAAAATTAAAAAGTATTTAATAAAAGAAATATTTTATTAATGCTTTGAAAAAAAGTAAAAGGTCTTTTTATACTTTTCGAGAAGTTTAAATATATAGTTAAAATGGTACACCTCTATTTTTTCTACGCTTAAAAAATATTTAAGTGTAAAAGTTTTGACAACAATAATGAAGTCAAGGTTGGAATAAAATTGTAATTTCGAGATTTTAAGAGAGCACGTTTTTTTTTACAACATTGTACGATATCAAAAAACTAATGTCACATAGAGAGTGCTTAAATATCAATGGTAACTACGTTGAAAAATAATTTAAGGTTCAAATTAATAAAAGTTTAATGATTGTTCTATCTTTTATTTTATTTTCCTATGGTAGAGAAATTTATTTTTAAGATGCCTTTAGTAATAACCAATACATCATATATTGACAATCACTTACCAAGATCTCTGCCAGCACCTATCAATACCCAACAATCCGATGTGCCAAAAAGACCAGTTTGAAGAAATACAACTTTTCCTGTCTGTTGACCTTTAAATAGAGGACTTCCTGTTATTCTATGTATCACCAAATTATAACCATCTTCCGTTGTAACGTAATGTTCCTCAGCGGTGTAACCATATTTCTCTACCAAACCGAGCTGCATAGACATATAGAATGTTAAAGAAAAGTTTAAAATTTTTGATATTTGAGTTTAAAATAATCTGATTCAATTATTTTACACGTAACACATTTTTTTTACAAAAAGACGTTTCTTATGCAACATTTTAAATTGTATGCAATTAATTTGCATTTCTAAAACAAAAATTTTTATCTGTTATAAACATTAATTTCTTAACTAATTAATTTTTTATCTACATTGGTTAAACTTTTTAAATTTAGTTTTGTGAGTATTATCAATCTCAAAATCTTTTTTGAAACATTCTGTAATACAGAATAGAAAGATAATCATATATATAGTAAAATATTTTTTTTAGAAATAAAGTTTTGTTTTGTATAAATAATTAATCTTCTAATTGTGCTATTATTTTCCTAAGTATATTTTTAATGGGATGATATTGGGAATATCAAACTCGCACTTACAAAATCCAATGTAGTTACGTTATTCATTGTTGTTCTAATGTCTTCTGGCTTCCTTACTCTCACTATATGAGGATCCTTAGGAAACATATAGTTGAGTATAAATTTCGGAATGGATATCGACTGTCCATGGACATTTAGTTTTGATTCCAGCAACATTACAGTAAATATAAATACGATGGAAGCAAATTTCATGCCCATTGTCATTATTACTGTCAATATCCGCGATTGTAAATTACGATTTGTAAGAACTGATATTATTTAATATAAGTTTTGTGTGCGTGTGTTATCTGTCTTCGTTTTCAAGAAATCTATAAATGCAATTGATATTAGCCCTTATTTTTTTGTTTTTCATTTTTTTTTAAATGTAAATATCAAAGAATTTATTAAATTTTAGAGTATTTTAATTTTCAATTTTTTACATAATAATTAAATGATAAATTTATTAGAATTTATAAGGTTTATTTAAAAAGTTCTGAAAGTTTGTTATTTGTTTAACTGAATAAAATTTACTTTGCAAAAAGTAAAAATAAAACTTAAAACTTTAATTGATTATTATTAAATTAATCTAATAAAATCATTTAAAGAAAGACATATTTTACTCATCGATTAAAGTCAATCGATATCTACGATATCATTAATCTAATTCAAATAAAATAAAATAAAATCAATTTTTAAAGTTAATATTTTCTCAAAATTAATTGTCTTTGTATAAATTGTTTTATGACTTCTAATTTTTATGACTATTCCAAACAGTTTATATTATAATCCAATAAATTTTATTTTTTATATACATATCTACATATTATTCACGTATATACATATATGCAGAAACACAGTCTTACAACGATAATCGAACATTATGTAACGCATACGAAATCTCAAGTTTACGTGCAATTTCACAATATTTCACTGACACATTCAACCAATGTTCAAACAACAATCGAATTTATTAAAGAAAATCGATCAAACTTCTAATACTGAATAATCAATTACATCAAACAAATAAACTTTGTCCATTTAGCTAGTATTCTCGTTCATTGCTGCTGCTGATGTATAACAAATATTGCAAATTGGCAATTTAATTAATTTATTTATTCGATTATATCTGTTCTCTTGTATTTGTTAATACAGATATTAATAGTTTACAGTTCACATATACGTATACACAGTTCTATCTGACTGTAACAAACTGTGACTACGAACTGATCCGTACATTTTTTAAAGGCGGCTTCAGACATGGCTAATGTACATACATACATGCATAACTTAACGCACAAATATTGGTCGCTAAATATTGGTCTACATTCCTGTAGATTGCATGTCATGTATGTAATATTTGCTAATATTGGCCATGAAATAAAAGCTGTTTTTACCGTAAAGATACGTTGTGTTTAATTATTGTTGTTCACATTGTGCTATTTAATAATGTAATTGTTTTTATTTGATGCCAAGCAAATTTTGCTTAATTTTTATATCTATAACAATTGCATGCAATAATAGATGTACATATATGTCGATAAAACTAAGGTTTTTTTTTTATGGGACGATACTTTGTACCTTCGATAGACTGCAAAGTTATTAATCTTTTGTTTTAATATATGGAGTGGCAAAGTAAATTAGAAATAACAATTACATAATTCTACACAACATTTTGGTTTAAACAAATCTACTCTATCATTGATTGAAGTTGCTCTATATCCCGTGTATAGTTGAAAAAACGTGTTTAAAAAGTAACAAGCGATGCAAGAAATAAAAACAGATTTTAAAAACGAGTAATAGATATTAACTATGAATAAAATTCGATAGTTTATTTCGAAGTATATATAGGTATGATATTTAATTGAAACTTCTAAAAATTATATTATATACTCACATTCTTAAAAAAAAGCGATACAATTTAAAGATTTAGGAAAAACTTATTGAATTTTAAATAATCATAAATTGGTAAATGATGAAGATAAAAATATTAATAAAAATGCAAAACAAAGCTTCAAATATTCACTTTAAAAATATTTGAAGGGTAATTATGCTTAACCATTTTTACAAAATGATGATAAAGTGAGAAAATGCAAAATTGTTTGTGAAAAATGAAAGATTTTTGCGATGATGCATGGCATGAATTAGATGTCGCAACCCAAAATTTACATGAAAGAGAGGGGAAGAGAAAGAAAGACTTTAAAACTTTTCAATGGTCAAACGGCAAATTTGAAAAAAAGCTTTTTTAATTAAATTTGAAATAACTCAGCGGAAAATAATCGCATCTAACTCAGTAACAAAGTTTTTTAAAGTAACACTGACTAATCAGAATTGTATCTTACAAATTCGGATTTTCGATTATCAATTTTGCATTTTCTCACCTGCCATTTAAAAAAAATGACAGAACATTTGTTTATCAGAACATTTAATTGTCATTCAAATAACCTTAAAGTAGATATTTGAAACTTCATTTTACAATTTTATTCATATTTTTATTCATTAATTCATTAATTAATAAATTAAAGTTATGAATAATCATAAAATTTTTCTTAAATTTTTAGTGTATCGCTTTTTTAAAGTGAATATATGTATGTTAAAATTTTTTACATACATATATGTAATTATACATGAAAACTTTATATATAAAATTGAATTTTTGTATTATAATTGCTTTATAATTTTTTATACTATAATAATATTATTATAAATAATATTATTTGCTGTAAACTTAAAAAATTGTAGTTGATATTATTTCAATTACTTGCACAAAAATAAATTAATTATATATCAATTGATAAATTAATTTCTCTTATATACAAAATAATTTTTACATATCTATTTGTATATTATGTCAATATATACAGGGTTGGCCATATTCGACGGAAAGATCTGGCAACACTGTAACTTTTGACAGAGATGTTAGATCGAGTAACGACGTTTCCCATGATTGAAAAAAAAACATCTTTCCGTCGAATATGGCCAACCCTGTATATACGATGATTTAACCATTCACATATTTAACTACGTAACATCTGAATGCGTCAAATATAAAGAAGGTAAGGAAAAACATAAGCTAAGTATAGTGCGGTTAATATTGCGCAAATAATAGTCTACAAACTTTTAATATTTTAATTTTCATGTGTTTATCTGAGAATATTCTTATAAATTTCTTCTCTGATGTCAGTAGGATAAAAGTAGGGATTCTAATTCACTATGTGTTAGTGCGTGTGTGGGAGTCAGAGAGGGGAATGCATCACAGACACTGGAGTCCGAGAGAAGGGAAAAGTGCGTCAATGAAATCAATAAAAACTTTTTTTATCTATGTTGACCTACAACAGCAATAAAGTCTGTCTGTTCCCATTATCTTTTTTAAAAAAAAAATTAGTTTTTCAGATAGTGTATCCAATCTAGAATTTTATTTATTCTTTACAAACATGCGAGCTAGTATTTTTTTTTTAATGTAACCGCCGTCAAACCTAAGTGAAACAATGACACATGTACTAAGAATTCTGATCATATCGAACCTTTTTTCTTCTAAGGGATAGGCACCGATAACAACAATAAAATATGTTTGTTCTTGATCTCATAGCGCAAGCTGCTCTCGATTGAATACGCGAGTTTCTTGCGTGGGAATAGCGTTAGAATAATTTCATCGAATCGCTGGAAGTACAAAGTCATGTTAAACGTCCGCGATTATCGATTGGTATTAAACAATGATTGCTCGTATCGCGCGGTTTAAAAGTTTGAAGGATTCTATGCGTGGACGTTTTGTACAAATGGGTGCTGGATATAGCGCGGGACACACACACACACACACACACACACACACACACACATTGTATATGTATACGCACTAACGCATAATGGGTTAGAAACCGGTTGTACTTACTGATGTCCTTTTCGCTATATTTGATGTTGATGAAATTTGTACGATTTGTATTGTATGATTACAATTTTCTATTTGTTCTTAATTATTACAAGAAAAATTCTTTTAGATAAAAAAAATTTTAGTAATATCTCACTATTAAACTGATTTCCAAATAATATCAAATTTCCATAGATTTGACGCTATAACACAATATATTTTGATACAGATACGTTGAGCAATTAGAATCAGCAATCTCTTGCTTGTTCATTCCATTGTCTATTAAACATCGTTCAGAACATTTATAGATGTATCGACCCCACTTGTATTGTTACCATTGTGTTATCCCCATTTCTTTAACGATTATGTGCGTCTATATCACTGAGATCTTATAAATTTTCTCTGACATCGTACAACAAGTCAAGGATGGCAAGTAACGCGTTACCTGCGACGTTATTATTACAATTATTCTTTTGCAGCAATAATCAACTAACGACATTATTTACATATACATATGTAATGAACGTGCATGTATAAATTTTAAAAGAAGAAAGAGTGTTCGATTAACTACAGCTATTATAGGCTTTCTACAATATTATCTAGTTTTGAGTTTTAAGTCGTAAGAAATTGACATCATAATTGAATGTATGTTAGAAAAATAATGATTAGTCATTTTCTTGTGACTTAAGGCTTAAGCTTAGCTTAATGACTTATTGTAGAAAACCCTTTAAAAAAATTATATAGCCTATGTTAAATTGGTCAATTAGTGATAATCGGATGCCACTTTAAAAAAAGGATCATCAAAATTCAGTAAAAAAGTAACGGAAATTATAATGATTCATTACAAATGTCAACTGTTACAAATTCTTTTGAATAAAATCTCACTCTAAAGAATGAAATTGAGCTAGTCTTGAAAAAGACCGACTTAATTTTCAATCATTAAGAGTGAGATTTCACTCTGTAGAGTAACAATTCACTTTAAAGTTTTAGAGAGTACTTTTTGAGTAACAATAACGAAAAGTTACTTTTTAAAATCAATAATAGATAATAACAACAAATTATTTTTAATAAAGTAACTTCCCAATTTCTGAAAGATTTTTTTAAATCAAAAGGCAGATATTGATTCTAAATAATATTCAACATTATTTTGAAATTAATTAACAGAAATTAATTATACTTTTCTCGCACGGAATGAGATCTTGGTTTGATTCGCAACCGAGGTAATAAAATTATTTACAGATTTTAAATTATTTAAAGAATATAAAAATTATAAAAACCTATATGAACATTATTACTACTCTAGTTGTGTTAGGATGGTGTTTCAAGTCCGAAAATAAATTTGGCGCGCAGTTTGAAGGATTAGATTTGTGGCGAGGAAGTAATCACTAGCTGAAATATTGTCCCACAATATTATCCCATAAATTACATTTGATTTCATCTGACAAATAATTTTCTTCACTACATATGAAATCATTTGGTAAAGTAAACGATTATATCTAATGTTACACAATTCTCATAATTGTATAGGTAATTATCGGATTATACGTAAGAATTTCTATAAATTTTATAATGACTTCGGAGATATTGTCCTCACGATTACATTAAATGATTACTCTCTCGATTTGTGGTATACATAAATTCGCATGGAATTGCTTCAGCAGTAAAGATCCACGCTTAATCTTTATTTCTTATCTTGTGTATTCATATCACGTGAAATAATATTTTAATTTCGTTAAACTTATTTAAACTGTCTATAAGTTTACATGTGTATATTAAAATTATTTATAGTTTAAGTTTTTCATCTTATTTTATAAATATAATTATACATTAATATTATTTTTTATAAAGGTCTGTATTTTACTTTCTCTTATTTCACTTAATCATAGATGAATTTGTTCCCATATATATTATTGTATTATATATGATATATATATTGTTGAAGTGTTTGTGTCTCATATTGATGTGGATATTTACAAAGTTTAATTACGTGTACATTTAATTATATCATTTATGTTTAAACGATAATTTTTAATACGAGTCAAACTTTGTTCTAATAAATATTTATCATAAATGATAACATACTTCCCAAATATGTTATCAATAAACTTAAAATCTTTGAGTTTTTCTTAAATGAATGTTTTTTTTTTATTAAGAAAAAAGGTATCATTTAAATATTTCTTATATCATAAAATGAAAAAACATACCTTTTTAGTATCATTAGTTTGCGGTAGTAGGTAATACATATCCAAATGAAAATTGTTGTTAAATGTATCTCAAACATAATATTGGTATTAAACAACATTTCTAAATTAATATATTGCGATATGTGAAAGTTTACATTAAAAAAAATAAATATCAATTTACTATTGTGATGAGTTAATACGACACTATATTTGCGGAGCAAACTGTGTTGTAAATTAAAATATTTCTTTCTTTCCTTTTCCGTTATCCTGACATCCAATTAATATTTAAATTAGTATTCAATGTAAGGTTTGTATTTGTCATTCTGCTCAGAGATATAATCTCATAATTGTTTTCTGTAATCTGTTGGGTCAATGTATAAATTTGATACGATCAAGTTTTGCTTACCTTGAAAATTATGTACGTTCTTTTTTTGCAATATATGTGTGTGATTTATTTAATATCTGCTTAGCATAAACATGATACGTGCTTTGAATAAAAAAATTCGTGCATTAAGTTTTTTCTGCTAACGTAACAATATTATAGTGGTATATAGCAGGAAATTGAAGGAACATATTTAGTACAATTTTAATTATTAACATTTGCGAATGCAAGTTTTTTGTCTCACAATAATTGTGAGAATAATTTTTTACATTGTCGAAATGAAACGTGATATTTTGACAAAATAGAGAATCAAATTTCTTGTAAAATTTGAGAAGAATCAGCCAGAAATTTATGAAATGCTACAGACATCTGATTACAAATTTCTTCTCAAGTTTCGCAAGAAATGTAATTTAATCAACTTATATTTTTATGTTAGGTTTTACATTATTTTATCAAAAAATGTGTTCCTTTTCCAGGTATGGAATTCTATACGTGTACAAATTTCAGTATGAAGTGCATCAACCACATAGTCGCCGTCCCTAGTTACTATTGTATAACTAATAATAAAACATTAATGGAAATATTCATTTTCTTTTTAATTTAACCTGTACTTTTAAGTTGCATATTAGCATAGCTGGCTGTATGCAATGTGTAACAGAACATGTTAAATTTATATTATATTTAAATAAAGATATCTCAAGAGAAATACAAATATGTTTACTCTCTTTTATCAGTTTTTTACTATAGATTATAGATTATTGTATTGTCTACAGCAAATTTTTTATTACACATAATTATATGTGTGTGTGTGTATAAACATCGGAGATATTCTTATTTTTATATTTAAACACAAATTATCATCTCATTAAAATAATTCAGGTTTTTATAGATCTAAAAAAAGAATATTATATATCTCTAAGCGGAATGACAAATATAAATTTTCCATTGAATATCTAATAAAAAGTAATGATAAAACAAAAGAGGAAAAAAAAGAATTTGCATAAGAAATTTTAATTAATATGTGAAAATTAAGTAATTGAGAGAGTGTGAAAAAATTTTAATACTATATAATATTATATTTCCATTCGTGTATATGTATGTGCTAAGATTTTGATTAATTAATATTGCGAATCAAGTCTTAAAGAGTTATATGATTTTTATATTTTATGGCATGAGAGATGTAATATCCATTTTCGAGCAAGATATAAGTTTATGGTCTTTATACGAAAAAAATTTAAATCTGATACTTCTTTAAATATATTATTATATCTAATCTAAAAAAAACGGTAATTTAGGAGAATGGAAAAAATAAATGTAAAATTTCTTACCAATTGCATTGAAATTCACAGCAATTTTATATAACATCACATATTTGTTATTTTATTATATTAAAAAATCATATAGTTTTTTCCAATTTACAAAGAGACACAAAACTTTTATCATGTTTATAACAATCTCCTGTCATTTGTTAGCATGCTTCTGATAGAGATATTCCATGTCAAACCGGGCACCTTTGAAACATCATTTTTATTTTTTTTTTAAATTTGCTGACATTCTACAAATAAAAAAATGCAAGACATGCGTTTCGCGAAAAAAATGAGATTTTTTTGTGAAATTATTCACACTTGTAAGTTTCAGAAATTTATTAAAAAACAAACATTGAAATTATATCGTCGAAATCATTAGTCGTACAAAAAAAGTGTAAGACATCGATTTTAAAGATTTTCTATTCACAATTTAAAATTTTTTTAAAGTCGATTTCTTATGTTCTTTTTTTGTACGACTACAACAATATAATAATTAGAATGTTCGCATGAGCGACAAGAAAATAATAAAAACGATGTTTCAAAGGTATCTGCGAATTAACGTGGAATGCTTCATATACATATACATACGTAAAAAATTTTCATGTATAAGCTAAATTCAAATCTTCTATTTTAGTCTAGAAAGTTCTTTTATACATCTGCTATACATATTAAATAGTACTACACATATTAAATTAATATATAATTATTAAACAAATATTTTTTTGGGATACTTTATAAAAAATTGAAAGTTAAATAAATTAATTTTTAGTTGTAAATGTTGAAAAATTAAAATATTTCGTGTACACTCACGCACGCACACATTTAGTATCTTGTCATTTTATGGTAAATTACTTTATGTTATTTTACAGTCAATTACTTCTGAGCTATTTTAATATATCATTATGTTATATTCTGTATTGGAATTGAGATCATATACTTATACCTAAATCAACTACAATTGTTTATATTATCTTCTATATGGCGAATTATAATAATCTTTGTTACAAATATCTCGCGCAATAGAAAACGAAAAACAAGCAGCAAAAAAAGAACAAAATGTAAAAAAAACAGGATACATTTTGCATAATAACAACCGATCCTAAGAGGCCCTAACTAGTAATACGGTACTAATTTGATAATTTATTAGTTTTGTAGACGTGTACATATGTGTTTAAAACTGTGATTTAATGATATCATCTGAGTTTGATTATTAATAGAAATGATAACTGCAAAGAAAAATTGCAATTTTTGGCAATATATAAGATATTATATCATTAAAAATATGTATACTTATTTATACAGCATTTATATATAAAAAAATTACGAATTTAATCATATATCTTCGAAATATTTATATTAATAATCATAAATTTTTATTAATTGTCGGTAACAGCATCATTTTTCAATTATCCCCGGACTCCATTGATAGTCATGAAAATTTGCCCAGTAGTAGGGATTCTTTAAACTCTTAAACTAATCACATATTTTTCGTAACAGTAACAGTAAGGTTTTCGATCAATCGCATTGCTCGATTGTTACGATTATGGTTACAGATGACCGAATCGAGTAATGCGATTGGTCGAAAATCTACCTTACGTTTAGCCATTCCAACTTACATAGCCGGATAATCATATGCATACAGTAAATTATCCAATCACATTTCTGTCATAAAGGCAAAATAAAATACGATTGGATGATTTTCTTTATGCATATGTTTATGCATGCAAGTTTGTATGGAATGGCTCTTACGGTTACTGTTACGAAAAGTGTGTGTAATTAGCTTTATCGATGATCGCTATCAAGCTATTGTCATTAACTAGCGACTACTAAGCGACAGCCAATAGCAGGACAATTCTGGAAAAAAGCGGTTCTCATTGGCTGTCGCTAATTAACAATAACGACAATGTCGATAAAACGTTTAGAAAAATTCCACAACAGGGCCAAGAGTTAGTCTTTAATCCGATCTTGGGCCCTTATCTACAATAGATTTTTAAGCCTTAAGCCATAAGGAATGGACGAATCACAATCAATTATTTTCTTCGCATTCGATTACAACTGGTCAACTTCTTACGGCTTGAGGCTTAAAACATCTATTGTAGATCCGGACTTGATAGTATTGGTTGCAATACAAACTCTTGCATAACGCATAATGCATAAGTGAATAAACTAATCAGAATCTTTTCTTTCCTCCCATTTCATAGAAAAGAAGAATTTCGATTGGTTGATTCATAATTGGAACACTTTGTGTAAGACAGTGTTACACTGTCACTTGTATACGTTGTTGGAAAACATCCACTAATAACCGTTAGTGACCAACCCCTTGAGAATGTTAGATTCAAATTAACCACCACAATATGGACGACGATGGATACAATTTTCTATTGGCTATTGGAAACGCTGCGTAAGAACACATCTTTGTATATACACTATGGATCGGACTTTAACTTTTCACTTCAATTCGGTATACAATATATTGTTTAGCAATGTTGGCGACACTGTTATTAAGAGAAACGGTTGGAATTGTCGGAAGTGTTGGAACGATCTTAAAACAAAACTCCTAAACGGCATTTTCGATTAGTCGTCGCGTGTAGTGTACATACGATATGTCTTACGTCTTTTCCCCTCAAAATGCTTCTCATCAGTGTCGGCATATGAATGAGAGAATAATTGGAATCGCGAAGGATGCGCACTGATGCTGATGCATGTGTACTGAAGATCGTCTACGAAGACTATCGTTTCGTCCATTCGCTCACGCATCCGCGATTTTTCAAGTGGCGTGGTCGCGTATAGTAATCCACACTATAGTGTTGCAGTAGAATAACAGCAGAACCCAGTATCATCCCGCGAAGATCTTCGTAACCTCTCTACTGAGTTGTTTTCATCCCGCCAGCTTATCGTAAGAGACGTCCAAGCGTAAAATAGATAGAGAGTGAGAAATCATTCGGCCAAAATTAAATTGGCCGAATTAAATAAAAATTAAATAAATCTTAGCTACAGTTAGCTTTTTTTAACCGGCGATGAGCGACAATAAGCAGGTAGGTGAAACTCCCAGTAGCGAGGTTGCTAATCGATTTCGAAGCTGTAGGGATCTGAGCGACATTGTACCGTTGTATCCGTCGCACGCGCTTTATCTGAAACCTCTTGCCAAAGTTAACGTGTCGGTCAGTCTACCCCAACTGAAGACTCCAGGTAAAAACAACATCGTCATCAATATCAGTGGCCTCCTCTCTGGAGGATGGACCTCGACTCTCTTCTCTCTGCCTTTTGTTCCCTTCTTTCTTCTTTTTTAAATTGATATACAAATTGCAATACATTTTTATCATAAGAATCATGTACAGAATTTATGATAATTCTTATTCAAATTTTAGCTTTTATCATTTTCTATACCGTAATATTGAATATCGTGTTGTCATTGATTTGAAACTGTATATTGTAGCATTAAAATTGCACAAAATTCTTATCGTATTCTGAACATGAAATAAGCAGAGAAGAAAACATATAAATTAGGCAATAGGAGTCAAGCCTACAGAACTCGAACAAGTATTTAAATTGATGTTTATATTTTATCAACTATGCTTTAGCTCTAATTTTTCTTTTCTCATCATGCATCTTAAAATTTTTGTGATAATAAAAATTAATAATTTATTATAATTAATTTTGGAATAACAATCTCAATAATTATGAGTAGTAATATTTTTTATCTATAATGCTAACATGTGTTTATAAAAAAAGAAATAGAACATTTTTCTATTTAACTATAATATATTTTTGTCAATTGGATTTATGGCTCCTTTTTATTTTAACAACATTCGAGCTTTAAAGTATATTTTAGGGTTAAAATTAGGTTCTATTTATTATATGTATATATACTTTATATGCTGTTGCCTGTTATAAAGTCTCTTTTTATTATTTATTATTAGAATACTTAACAGAATAATTTGTAATAAAGTTAGGGCTGTTAACGATATTAATGTTTTTTTTTCCTTTTAAGATTAATATCATAAGAAATTAGAATTATTATATTATTTTGATATTAATGTTGAAATTGCAATGTGTTTTTATTATGAAAATAATATGCACATTATGTGTTTTAATTCTTTAAGTTTCAACTTTTATCATTTTGTATATTTCAATTTTAATATACTTTAATATATTACATATATATTTTAAATTAAATACTGACATCATTTATCTCTTTAATTTTAATTTGTATCTGATATTAATTCTGAACATATTTTTGTATCCTTATTATTTCAGCACTTCATTATTTTTGTCAGCATTTACTTAAGTGATGATAATCATTTATCTTAATAATATTGTTTATTAGTAATCTATTATTTTAACTAATTTATTTTTTGAGAGACAAAGTTGTCGCAACCAAATCATAAAGAATTTATCATAATCATATTTATGTCAACGATGATCTCTAGTGGAGAATGACAGGAGAATAACGTAGCATCTGTTGGAAGAAAAACCATGATCCCAAGTGATCCGTGCGATGCCACGAGCACTTCTAACAGCTTTTAGTAAAGATAGCTTCTTACAGACTCTTAACTGCGCTATAAACAGGCAAAACTATATCGACATGGGAGGTAATGGAGAAGATACGCGCGCTTATACTGCCGGACGAATTCGCATCCCTAAAAGTGGCCAAGAGCACCTTGGAATTCATCCGGCTGGAGGGCGACCTGCGGGACCGGTGCAGGTTGCCGAGAGTGCTGGCCAGGTTGGATTTACAACAGTTGAATCTGTCCGGCTTCTCCAATGTTCTCAAGGTAAACACAGCCAAGTTTCATCGCGCTATACATTTTCAATTAAGCGCAGTGAAATTTGTAGCTTAAGTTTCATTGGAGTTAATAACAAACAATATGCATATAAGGTCTAAAGAACAAACAAAAGAAGATATTTTTTTAATATCAACGAAGATAATAATTTTTAAGACAAATATTGATTCCTATAAAATAGGAAATAAAAAACACACAACCAAATATAGTTGAGACTAGATTTTGACGCAATATTCACATGTAAATTTTAAATAGATTTCAAATTTGACGATTATTTTTCAAATTTGAAGATCATTTTTGGCCCTTCTTATTTGATTTATTTATGTAATGATAACTAACTTATTGTATAAAAACGAAATTGTGAGTTAACGTTTGACTTCAACATTTAGGTCCGCGCGGCCGAGGCAAAGGATGACTTCCCAACCAGACATAGCTGGAACTCCTATTTTAGGGATGCAAAACATATGAACGAGTTAAAGGCCGGCGAAAGACCGGACACTATTCATATTACCGGTTTACCAGTTAAATGGTTTACCGAAGATAATACAAATGTACCGAGTGAATCACTCATTACAAAGATCTTTAAAAAATGGGGTGCATTGAGGAAAGTTGACGTGCCCGCCGCGGATTCCTACAGATCCAGGATGCGGCTCGGTAATAACATTCATAAATTCAGCTTCGAAGATGGCATATTTTTCGACGTGTACGTACAATATGTCGAATACATGGATTTTGTCAGGGCGATGGACGCTCTGCGCGGCATGAAGCTGCTAAAGAAGGATGGTCAGAATTCGTTAACCGCAACACTAAAAGTAATTTTTAATAGAAAATATAATATCTACGATTTCAATATTTTTTTTGTATCAATACTAATGTAATTAATTGTAATTTATTTTCCGAAATTTTATTAATTATAGAATGAATTTAACACAACATGTTTTAATTACAATGATATATATGGTAAATTATTTTGAAAAATAAGTATAATAAAAGAGGAAAGATTATTTAATCGAATATCTTTTGATGTGTGACTGAACTAATTCCATACAGGTTGATTTTGACAAGACCAAACATTTGAGTGACAATTCGATATCGCACCGTGACTTCGAGAGAAAACGTTTAATAGCACAGGATAATTTAGCGGCGGAGAAAATGCGGAAGAGAGAGGAAGCAGAAAAAAAACGGCAAGAGGAACAAAGGTAAGCATTTTAATGAAAAAAAAAATTTTAAGATATATTTTATAAAACAAACGTGGAAGATTACAAAGGCTAATGACTTCTGCAGACAGGACGCGGCAAACAATCGAATTCTGCAGTTTAGGTACAACATGAAATCCATTGATTTTTAAGTTTTATATATATGTTCTATTGTATTTTATTTCTTTAAATATTCTCTACGTTATACGACACGTAAAATTATAAATAGAAAGATTATATTCCGAATTTAGTTGCAAATTATGGATCGTCTAAAGTAGGCCTTACATTAAACTATTAGGTGTTGGAATTAATTCGTAGCGTTTTACATGAAAGAATGTTATTTATTTCACATGAGCATTAAAAAATACATTAATGAAAGTACTTCCCATCACTTGTAAAACGCTACGAATTAATTCCAACACCTAATATAATAATATTTTTAGCTTTATTACTCGTTTCTTTGTAATCTTTTACAAAATTTGTTTTACACATACGCGCTTGAATATTATTTATTATTCATTATATTATGTAAATACTGTATAATATATTATTTGCAATATAAAATTATTTTTGTTTTGACCTTAGAAAAAAGGAAGAGGCAGATTCGATGGCGAAAGCAAATCGACAACGAAATCGGGAAGAAAAACGAAAACGAAAGGCCCTTACGAAATTTCGTAAGCAAGAAGAGGACAAAGTTTCTATGAAGATTGCAAGAGAAGAACAAAAGTTGATAAAAGCTCAACGGCAGTTGGAAAGCATACGTTTATTAGATGAACTATTTGATAGGATAAAGGTAGATAATAAAAAAATATGCAATATATATAAAATTTCTTTAAGATTGAATGAAACAAAATTAATTCGTGAATACTGATAACATATTTTATTAATTATAGACGAAAGTGGAGAAAAAAGAGATTAAGCTGGATCAAAATATGGAAAAGAAGAGTGAAAAGAAAAACAATCAAACAAATGAAAAGAAAGTAGATTCGGAAAACGATAAGAAAAATAAGGAAAAGCAGGTTAAGAAAACAATGAAGAAAGAAAAAAAGAAAAAGGTATTTTTAACTATTTTAGATTTATCATACAGGGTATCTCACACTATTCGAATTATATTTTAAGGACGTATTTTTGAGATAATTTTATGATGAAAATCTTAATATAAAAATGTCGAGGCTATAATAGTTTTTAAATTAATCGCAATTAAATTTCGCTAATCACAGAGTTGACATTTCGCGCACTCAGGCATGACAAGTGATGAATGTACTACGAGAGCCCCTTTAACATGCAATATTTTTCAGAAAATTATTTGAAACCTATTTATACATTTTTAATTTTTAATTATACACATACGTGCATAATTAATACTTAATATCGAAATAGTATATCGTAAAAAATATATATATATCAATTCAATAGCAAGATATTACGATATATATTAGCTGTTAAAATAAATTCGTAATTATCATTCGTCTTGTATGGTAAACATTTTTGTGGTAATATCGATAAATTTTTGATGTGACAAAATTATTATAATTTTACAATATGGAGTACACAAATGAAGAATATTGTAACATGCTACTCATTTATGATGAATGTGACAGAAGTTCACATGAAGCCTAGACGGGAACATTATCCTAATCGTAGACGATTAGGCGAATCCAGAAGCAAACGTTTGATAAATCGAGTGAGAGCAAATGGTTCATTTAAACCGATAAGAAGAAATATTGGTGCCGGAAGAGATTTCATTGCTCGTACAATGAAGTGAAGAAAAAGTACTGCAAATTTTAGAAGATCTTGCAAGAAGTACTCGTGCAATAGGTTGCACAATTGGAATATCCAAAAATTCTGTTTATATTTTACAAGCGAAGGCATTTTTAATAGACATAATTATCATACTTGAGTCAATGAAAATTCACACAGTTACATATCAATACATTTCCAGCATAGTATTAATCTATGAGCTGATATAGTGGATAATGTTTTAGTAAGATGTCTTTTAATATTTTTATACTGTTTATTTGATGTACACTTTCTGTCATCACTATTTGTGAAGAATATTATATTATTTATTATGTTTTATCATATTCTTCTATATTAAATGAAAGAAATAATTGTAAATAATTGAATCTTTCTCCTAGATCGAATCATTCGAAGTTCCAGGGTAACGTCCTAAATCTGTGCATTACCTTTTCAACGAGACACTTGTCCATTCATCAAACTAAATAACGTCAAAGTGCCTCAATCATATTAGATATATTGATTTATACTTGGACAGACGATTGGTCTGGAAGAAATATATATTTACTAAAAGAAAGCAACTCGATATAAAATTGCAAAAAATATATTGGATGTTAAACCACAACTCTAAATTAAGTCTGGATAATGAGCTTTTGCTGTATAAAGCTATCCTGAAACCTATCTGGACATACGGTATACAATATCACTTCCCATTCTAATATTGAAATCATACAGAGATTTTAATCAAAAATACTGCGTATTATAACTGATGCCCCATGGTTCATCTCCAACGAAATAATACACCAGGACTTAAATATACTCTTCATTAAAGAGAAAATATCTTCGTATATTAAAGCTTATAGAAATAAGCTGAGTAATCATCCTAATGGCAAATCGTCTTATGGCTAAAGGACATCCAAACCGAAGACTCAAAAGAAAAACCTTAATGACTTTATAACTCATAACTAATACTATTGAATAATAATTTGTTGGAAGTGTGTCACTGGATGCATTTCACTTAGGTTTTGTATAACTGTTTAACATATTACTGAATGTTTTATATATATATATATATGTAGTATATAGAAGATAATTTGTAATAATTATAGAGTTAAAAAAAAATTATGCACGTGTGTATATAATTAAAAATTAAAAATGTACAAACAGGTTTCAAACAACTTTATGAAAAATATTTCATGTTAAAGGGGCCCTCGTGGTACATTCACGACTTGTCATATCGTCATACCTGAGCGCACGAAATGTCAGTTCTATGATTAGCAAAATTTAATTGCGGTTAATTTAAAAACTATTATAGCCTCGACATTTTTATTGGATTGTCCGGAAAGTTCGTGCCGATTTTTGGTAGGTGGCGTACAGGTCTGAATATATGTGGGAATAAGTGACTCGATTGATGAGTCAAATTCTCAAGACAAGCCCACGCTTGTCGTGTGATGTGATATAAGAGGTAATGATCGACACTTTCTTGTAACTGGTAACTATAAATCTTTATTACTCGAGCTCAAATGAATACGACCGTACAGGATGAGCGCCATAATGTATCTAATCTTATCTTTTTCTCTGACACTGCTTGTAGGCAACTCGCAACCTACAAAATCCCTAGGCTTTCTACACTCGCTGCGCTAGTGAGATATTGAGAACGTAGTTCCCTACATACACAGTGCGACAAATATGTTCCCGGACAGGGCCTGAAAATCATAATTGAAACAAATATGCATATTTTTTGGTTTTATTATTCAAAATATTCTCCTCTGGCTTCAATACACTTGTTACAGCGATTCAATAGTGATTCAAATGCATGTTCTAGCTCAGTTTGCGGAATTGCCTCTAATGCCTGTGTAGAAGCTGATTGGATGGTCGGAATGTCATCAAAAAAGCGTCCTTTCAATTTCAATTTCAATTTTGGGAATAATGAGAAGTCGCAGGGGGCCAAATCAGGTGAATACGGTGGATGGTTTAACACAGAGACACGATTTCCAAAGAAGAGCCAAACATTGACGGACAATCAATGAAGTGTGATTCGATGCATTATCATGCAACAAAGACCAATCTTCTGGATCACGATATTCGGGGCGAATACGATGAATTCTGCTCATCAATCGCTTTAAAACTTCGAGATAATATGCACCAGTAATTGGTAAATTTCTACCTCGACCAAAATCTTGTTTAACATGAACTGTCATATCTTCGTTATATGTCAACCAAAATGAATGAAACTTTGAAACAGATGATAGCAAAATGTTCAACCTTTAAAATGCATGTTTGAACGCACAGATGTCGCCACTGGTTGCTGAGATGTGGTTCGTGACCGGGAACATATTTGTCACACTGTGTATGTCAGAACGATTGAAAACAAATGACATGCGTACATATCGTAAAAGAAGGTACTTTAGACATATTTGGAAAAAAATTTATGATACGTTAATTTTTGTCAGTTTTATACGCCTTTGAATATGGAAGAAAACAAAGTGCATTTTAGGCATTCAATGCTTTTCTTTTACCGGAAAGGCAAAAATACCACACAAGCGGCAAACAAGATATGCGCTGTTTAGCGAAGGTGCTGTAGTTGAAAGAACTGTGCGGAAGTGGTTTGCTAAGTTTAAAGCTGGTGATTTCAACCTTAAAGATCAAGAACGCTCGAATAGGCCCTCCACCACAGATGAAGATCAGATTAAAACACTGAAAATAACCCACGTTATACGACACGTAAATTAGCAGAAATGTTAAATATGTCAAAATCCACCATCCACGAGCATTTTGTGAAGCTTGGCTACATAAACCGTTTTGATGTATGGGTTCCCCATGATTCAACGGAGAAAAATCTGATGGAATGATTGAAAACAAATGACATGCGTACATATTATAAAAGACGGTACTTCAGGCATATTTGGAAAAAAATTTGGTTATGATACGTTAATTTTTGTCAGTTTTATACGCTTTTGAATATGGAAGAAAACAAAGTACATTTTAGGCATTTCATGCTTTTCTTTTACTGGAAAGGCAAAAATGCCACACAAGCGGCAAACAAGATATGCGCTGTTTATGGCGAAGGTGCTGTAGCTGAAAGAACTGTGCGGAAGTAGTTTGCTAGATTTAAAGCTGATGATTTCAACCTTAAAGCTCAAGAACGCCCGGGTAGGGCCTCCACCACAGATGAAGATCAGATTAAAACACTGATCGAGAATAACCCACGCTATACGACACGTAAATTAGCAGAAATGTTATTAGTTGTCCAAATACGTTTCCGCTGTTTTTAATCAAAAATTAAGCATTGTGAAAGAACGATACATAATGTTTTATTGAAAGTATTGTCCATCGCTAGCCACTACTTTTTCCCATCTTTCTGGTAGCATACGGATATCGCGTTGGAAGAACGCTTCATCTTTTGAGGCTATCCAATTATCGATCCAATTTTTGATATCTTCATATGATGTGAAGTGCTGCTCAGACAGGCCATGCGCCATCGATCGAAATAGATGGTAATCGGAAGGGGTAATGTCTGATGAATACGGCGGGTGGGATAGAACTTCCCAATTGAGTGTTTCCATGTAGGTTTTGACTGGCGCCGCAACATGTGGTCGAGCATTATCATGCAGGAGAATAATTTTGTCATGCCTGGAGTAGTAGTGGGCGCGTTTTTCCTTGAGTGCTCGGCTCAATCTCATCAATTGTGTTCGGTAGAGAGCCCTTATGCCTGACAAGCAGCATTTCACATATGGAAAATCGGCGTTCAACGTTTCTCGGCTTTAGTTCATATGGAACCCAATTTCCTTGCTTTTGAATCATTTCCAATGATTTCAAACGATGTGAAATTGCTTGTTGAGTCGCTCCTAATGTAAGTGCAAGTTCTTTTTGCGTTTGGCACGAATCTTCATTCAATAATGCTTCCAATTCCGCGTCTTCGTACACTTTCGGCCTTCCACTACGTTCTTTATCTTCGACGTCAAATTCACCGTTCTTAAATTTTTGAAACCATTCACGACAATTTCTCTCACTTAAGGCAGCCTCACCATATGCTTCTACAAGCAATCGATGAGTCTCAGTTGCAGATTTCTTCAAATTAAAGAAGTAAATCAAAAGTTCCCGCAAATGACGTTTATTCAGCTCAAAACTCGGCATTTTCGCACAAAAAAAATATATGATGCTGATACAAAATCGCTAGTATTTCAAGATTATGTTGTTGACAAATGTCCTTATTAACCTTACGATATAATGTTTTATATCAGACAATTTTAATCATAGCTTGCTAGTGGCGCCGTCTTTTGTCAAACGGTGGAAACTTATTTGTATACCTAATAAATATGTCAAAATCAACCATCCACGAGCATTTTGTGAAGCTTGGCTACATAAACCGTTTTGATATATGGGTTCCCCGATTTAACGGAGAAAAATCTGATGAATCGCATTTCCATTTGCGACTCGCTTTATAAACACAACGAGGAGACACCATTTTTGAAGCAAGTAGTGACGGGGGATGAAAAATGGATCATTTATAATAATGTTAAGCGAAAAAGATCTTAGGGAAAGCGGAATGAACCACCTTTAGCTACCCCAAAAACCGGTCTTCATCCAAAGAAGGTCATGCTCTGTGTCTGATGGGATTGGAAAGGATTCCTGTATTATGAGCTTTTACCATACAACGAGACGATATATTCAGAGAAGTATTGTTCCCAATTAGATGAATTAAAGACAACAATTGAAGACAAAAATGTCCAAAAATAGTGAGTCGGAAGGGCGTCGTGTTTCATCAGGACAATGCGTGGCCTTATGTGTCTTTGATAACTCGACAAAAGTTGTTGGAGCTCGGTTGGGATGTTCTACTCCATTCACCATATTCACCAGACCTCGCGCCCTCTGATTTCCACCTATTTCGATCATTACAAAATTCCCTTAATGGAAAAAACTTCAACTCTTTGGTCGAGATAAAAAAATCACGTAGAAAAGTTTTTCGCTGAAAAACCTGAGAGATTTTGGAAGGACGAAATTTTCAAGTTGCTTGAAAGATGGAGAAAGGTTGTAGAACAGAATGGCACCTATATAATTTAATAAATGTATACTAAAATTTAAATCTTCTGCGTTTCAATTTTCCTTCAAAATAGACACGAATTTTCCGGACAACCCAATCTATTAAGATTTTATCATAAAATTATCTTAAAAATACGTCCTTAAAATATTATATAATTTAAGTAGTTGTGAGACACCCTGTATATTAACAAAACACAAAATCATTTGCAAGTCACGGTATTTTATATCTTCGAAAATTATTACAATTAAATAATTTTTAAGAATTAACATTCAATGATATTATTATTGTTTATAGAAAAAGCGAAAAAAAACGCAGAAAAAACGGAAAAAGGACGATAACTCTTCAGAGACCACAACCGAGGAAGAGTCAGATAAAGAGACAAATAAGAAAAGGCTTAAAAGTGTCTTAATAAAGAACGATGGTGCAACTTCGTCTACAGGTAATTTTTAGCCATGTAAAATATTTGATACATTAATTATGTATATATATATATATA